ATCTTATTCACTCTCTTTGGTGTTGGCGTTTATTGGTATCTTCGTGAGTGTTTGTTTGTTTTTCCTGTGGGAAATTGAATAGAGATCCTCTCATTTCGGTCGGTCGGACCGAAATGTCCCTTTCCATTTGACAAAATTGTTTCCTCCAGCACCGCTCTTTTGCGTCCTGCTTACATTGCTTACAAAGATAATAACCAAACCCGCGGTGGCTTGGGTCGGGTCTGTGCAGCCGGAATATACCGTTCCATTAGGCGCGTTGAATTTTCGGAATTTCAAACCGGAATTTTTATTGAATGGAAAGAGCCCAGGCTGTCACTCGAATTTTCCTTTTAACGATGCAAAGAAAAACCACTGAACTTTATTTGTCGAGAATTTCAGTGATATAAATCGGATCGTTCTTGTTGTCGAATGTATGCTACCTTGTATTCCTACACAAAAGCATATTAATTCTTACTCTTTCAATGTCATGGACTCACATTTTTGAAAACCCTTCGTTTTGCCCGTCCACGCTAAAACGATAGATCTCCGTTTGATTCGAGATCGAAATTACTACGAAATTACCGGAAACTACTACGAAATTATTGAGGAAAACACACTGATTTATCAGAGCGAAACCGTGTTCATGGCCTTACGCAAAGGTTTTATTTTATTGCTGTCTTTCAAAATCCCTTATTCTAGATTCTTCTTTAAAACTATTTGTTAACAGCAATTTACAGTTCCTAAGTTGCCTTAAAGCCCTTTTGAAGACTGTTTCTGCTCATTATGGCCCTTCGTTGCCACACGTGTTGGAGTCATCGTGATACCCTCCAGTGCCAAAGCCGATCCTGGAGTCACAGTTGCTACAGTCAGTCGACTTTGTTGCTCCATAGTTGAGAATTGTAGGGAAATGTTTTCTGAAAAAAAAACAAAAAAAAAAACAGTTAACTCATTTATAAAGAGTACTATCACATGACTTTTGCTGTTTTATCTGTTTGAGAAATATGATACAGTCTCGCCCTGTTTTTCACTGGTCTTGTTGCGAAGTCCTCACATAATATATAGATTAAGCCAGGGCAAGTACGCTTTATGTTCACTGGACCTGTTAAAACATACCACTTTATTGATTACTCCAAGTTTGTTTGTTTCTGTTAAAGTTAGGACGCCATGGAAATTCAGAATTCTCGTAAAAGAAATCTGACTTATCAGATAAGCAATGTTTGGTCGAAATTGAATAATTTTATAAAATATCGAGGAGCGTTGTTATTGCTGATTTTGTCGATAAGGAGGACTCTTCTTTACCGCCATATATATAATACATTACTCAGTCTTCTTAAGTTAATGATTCATAAACTATCCTTTCAGCTTGACCATTCGTAAATTGTGTGAATTTTTCTGTTTTTAATATATTTTTAACTATTTTGTTCTTATTGTTTCCTTACTATTTTCTTATCGGTATTTTAGTTCCTTTGTAACCATTAATGCACCAATTTTCACTTTTTATTTTCTAAAATACTGAAGAAAATTTACAAGCAATTCTTTGTGTTTTTCGTTTGTAAACTTAAACACTAGTCTCTTAAATATCTATTGTAAATTTCAAGATTTAGTGTTCAGGGCTTTTCAGTAGCGCTGCAATGTTCGCTTACATCATGACTTATTTCGTTTTTTGTGCTTGGAAATGAAGGAACGTTACTGAAATCCAAATAGTAATTTTCCATAGTATTGAAGCATTCTCTAGATTTCCTCTACCTTAGCTAGCTACATAAATTTACGTACTCAGTTTACTCTGTAACCAGTTCGTTTTTCTGTACTGAAATACTTTTTGTTGTCAGTGGGTCCAAACCTTGTGCTGTTGAGTCAAAAACAAATGTGCATTCTTGGTCCTTTAGTTCTTGAGCTTATCTTAAACACGTAGTACGACACGTTCTTTTTCACCTGGTATTCTTTTTTTGGATCTTTTTAAGATTCAATTTAACCGCTTTTATTGTATGGAGTTTCTTTTTGCGTTAATTTGTTGAAAAGTTGGAAACTGTGTTTACGATTGGAGTTAACTTACGTGTAATTAAAATGAAAACAATTAGAGTATCCTTTGTCTCATATACTTATAAGTTCTTGGTATGATTTCCTTGCACGTTGAAGGTGTCGGACCGAAAATAAAAGGATATAAAGCGTGTTATTTGTGAAAAGAAGACTTTCCACGCCATTCTATAAGAACTACTTTCAGATATGGGATATTTTTCATGGTTTGTATTCAGGTTAATCACTCCTGAAGTGTCGAACTATTTAATCAGATAACGCTGTTCAAAGAATTTCTTACCAGTATAAGGACAAGGCTGTAGCATTTCAATTATCTTATCTAGTTTTTCGTCGATTTTCTCGATTGCTTGGTTTGTTTCAGAGTTTTGTCCGTTGTACTGGTTGCAGACAAATGTCTTGCCATCGGTACTTTTCGTTCCATTCGTTGCGTTTGCCGTGAGCAGCAGAGAAAAAGCTAAAATGAACCAAGATCTCATCTTTCGATTTAAGTTAACTGTATTGAAGCGTTTGTTATCGAGTAAACTACAATATTCTGTAATGTTCCTTTAACCGGAATACTTTTACTCCATAATGCTGAGTCTCCTTTTTTAGCTTAGTCTTGACTCGTATTGAAGACAAGAAAATTTTTCCAGTCGAAATATTAATTAATTAATTACCTGGTTCATCATATCCGTTTAAAATGACGGCAGTGAAATCTCACCTATAAGCGCTAGCAGGTTGAACGCTAAATTTGCAGTAATGTTCATTGAAAGCTCTCAAATTCTTTGGGAGTAACTTATAAAAGTAGACGAAAATTGTGCTTGAAGGCACACACCGTGCTTCTGTATAAATTTTGTCTGTAGCAGACGGCTTTTTATAGCCGTGCTTCAGTTTCTTTACGTATAAAGACAAAGCAGAAAATTCATAGAATGATAAATGACTTAAAGCATTGGAAATACTTAAGTTAAGGGTAGTTTGAAAATTTTCCCTCATTTAGACAAGTTTTTTTTTGTAATTGAGTTTCTCCAATGAATTTATGGCTTGCTATTTAATCACTACATGGATGACTGGCTAAGGATACATCAGACATTTGTGTGCGGGAGCAGAGTAGGGAGGGGAGGGTAAGGAGAAACTCTTCTTTTCCCCCGAACCCCGGTCTCCCCGAGAGATTGCTCACGTGACCTCTGGAGCCAGAATAACCAAGAAAGTAATCGATTTAATGTTGCGTAACTCTCTGTGGGAATTACCGGGTGTTTTCGTACGTTTTTAATCGTTTTAAAAAAGCGTGAATAGATTTGCGGAGAAATATTTTCTCCTGATATTCGTTTATGTGGAGAAAAGAGGTGCGACTAAGTTACCTATAGAGGATGCGTTTCTTATTTATCATTTAATGTAATCTTTTTTTCTGATATTATCATAAATACGCTTTTATTTTTTATAGCTCTCTGAAATGCAGTTGTTTTGCTGATAATGGCAATTTACCATTTTCACACTACCCATAATACACCTCGCTGTACGCCCTCAAAGTTTGCGTAAGGATTGTCTTCTATTTCCCTTGGACGTTTGTTATACCCAGGAAAAGTTGAAAACAACGGTTAATATGCAAAACTTTGTAGACTGAAGGGTGTTTAATGGGCAATAAAAAAATGGTCAATGTGAACAGTTTGGACTGCGAGTACGGATTTAGAAATTTATTTTGGCTCTTTTATACTCCCAGCTATGCAAAGAATAGCTTTACGAGGCCAGATAACTATCACACTGAATATGTGCAATTCGTATGTTATTTGCTGTTGAACTGTGCGGTATTTTCCAACTAATGAACTTTGTTCGTGAAACAATCGCATTAAATACAGTGCCAGATCCTGACCTTGAGATAAGGAGAGGGAGCGAGGCCGGTCATCCAGACCCTTAGATAAGGGGAGGCCGCGCCCCCCGGGCCCCTCCCTTGGATCGGCCACTTTAATACCTCGCTTCGTTAACCAATCAGTATGCGAGATTTTATTCAATTATGCGATTCTAAATAAACTTTTCACATTGAATGTCTCGTGTTATTGGCCGGTCATAATGTAGGTTATACAGACTGTGTTTCTTCTTTATCCATTTAATTTAATCTTTTTTTTTTCTGATACCACATAAATACGCTGTAATTTTTTATAGCTCTCTGAAATGCAGTTCTTTTGCTTTTAAAGGCTAAAGCAATAAAAACAATTCAACATTTTCACAATGCCCAATAAACCTCGCCTACGATCCAAAATTTTGCATTAGCATTGTCTTCAATTTCCCTTGGGACGACTGTTATATCCAGGAGAAATTGGAAACAACAGTAAATATGCAAAACCTTGGGGGTAATCAAGGTGTATTATGGGCTACCGGGGCTATGCGAAAATGGTCATTATGAGAACAGTTTAGACTATGCGCACTGATTTAGAAATTTGATTTGCATTCATGCAATTCATGTGTTATTTGCTGTTAAACTATGCGGGATTGTTCCACTTAGTCACTTCTTTACCGATAACGATGAAGCAACCTGGTTCAAATGCTTCCTCCCGGTATGATAAGGGTGCATTGGATGTCAAAATTGTATTTTTATACTCTCCTTTGCATTTGAGATTAGTGTGCAATTGACAACTATCGACAACTGATTAAGCTGGGACTGAAACAATAAGAACCACTTTTCTGGAAAGAGTATGTGAAGTGTTTGGTCATGGTTATATCTTTTCTGTGAGGTGAAGGCGAAGACGTATCTTTGGTATAGCAGCACGTGTTATGTAGTGGAGGATGAAATCTGCTCAGATCGACCCATGTTTGTAACTGATTTTTTTTCTTCGTCAGTAACTAAAGGTTTTTTTCTCTTCTCTTCAGTTAATATATCCATTGAAGTAAAGTTTTATTTTATGTGAATGGTGTACGTTTTTAGGTGGTGGACCAAATTTTGCTTCAAATATAACTGAGTCAGCGTGAAAAATGTTTGCCGCTTTCGTTTGTTATCTTGTAGCATTCGGTCAGTTGACACAAGATTGACAAAAATAATCTACAACTGCATTAATCCAAATAAAACAGTACAGAGAAGCGTAGTTATCAATGAAACCGTGTTTATGGCCTCGAGCTATATTTTATTTCATCTCAGTGTTACAAAATCCTTAATTATCGATTTACTTTTAAACCGCTTAGGAACAACAATCAACAGTTTCTTAGTTGCATTTTAAGGCCATTTTTTTAAAGCATCAAAGCATAAGCTTTTTCTGCGAACTACAGCTTTTATCGGACCAAGATGTATCCCATAGCTTTGTCCTGGTTGCCACACGTGTTGGAGTCATCACTGTGCCCTCCAGTGCCGAACCCGATTCTGGTGTCACAGCTGTTGCAATCATTTTGCTTGTTCCCAAGGATACCAATTCTCGCTTTGCTGTGTGCAGTACTGGCACCTATGGCATTGAATCCCTCTTTGTTACAGTTGGATTGTAAAGAGGCCCGAGACCCAATAAGCGTCTTCCACGTGTTACGGCCCAGTGAAGTAGCTCGGTATTTGCCATCTGCGATCGGTGAATACAGGGATCTGGCTTGATGGTTGATGACAACAGACTTGAACTGCTGACCGATCTTCATTCCAAGACAGATCTTGTCAAAGGGTGTGTTCCAATAAGTGGGTAACTTGGTCTCGTGAGTGTCCAACCCAGTCTTCCCTCCTGGAAGGTTGAAGTCGACTTTGTTGCTCCACAGTTTAGAATTGTAGTGAAAGGTTCTCTGATTAAATTAATAAAGAAAACATCATGTAAGTTATTCAGCTAACGCACTATCGCTTTTCTCCTTTAAAATTTGACAAATATAATATCAGCATCTTGGTCTTCACTGAATTGATAAATCATCGAGCTAACAGTTATCAAACCTACACTTACTAGATCCACTATTACCCTGTATGTTGACCTTAATAATAGTCTGAATTTACGTGACAAACTGACAGAGCTGCTTGTGATAACATTTAACTTTTAATACCTTTGAGCCATCGATCTTCATGACCAGCGTCCATCCTCCTCCTCCGCATGCGTCGAGCCCATGCTTGGTCATGTGACAATATACGGGAATCTTTGCAGATCCAACGTTCAGGAGGTACTCTTTGTTTCCTTTAGACCTGGTTAAAAAAAATAAAACTCAATTAGTTCACCTCATTCTGAAGTAATTGCCTCATTCGGGGTGATAGAAAAACTGACTTAGAAAGGGCCCCAAAGAAATTGAGGAGAAAGTCTTTCATATCAAGTGGACAACCTAAGTGGAAATCTAAGAATATCGAGTGACTCTGTAATTGCTGACTTTGTCGATAAGCAGAACTCTTCTTTAGCGTCTCACTTTTTTCCCCTTGTTTATATTGTCACCAGTCTTGGGCGTTGCTCCTAATTAAATGATAAATTACTCAGTCCTATTAAGTTAGTGATTCATATACTGTCCTTCATCTTGAGGGTTTCGTTAATTGTCAGTGCTTTCATTTTTCCTGATTTTTTTCTTCGCACAAAAGTAGTGATCGTTATTTGAGTTTATTTTACCATTTCTGGACCAATGTTTGCTTTTTGTACTCTACAATCATAATTGACTATAGCGAACACTCCTGAATAAATTCATTAAGTTTCTTTTCTTCGTTTGATACCGACCTTCGGTGTTTAAGTATTTGATTTACTGCTATAATTCTTATTTTAATTTCGTCGATATTTTGTTACTGATTTTATAGCAGTTACCATTGTTTGTTATCCAGAAAATCTTCTCAACTTTGACTTCCCCGATTTTCGTGTATTTGACTTGCCAATTGGTAAAGAAAATTAAGAAGAAATTTTAGCAATTTTAGTTGGGAACGCTCAGAGATTTTAAAAGTGTATTTCAAAATTTGCGGCTCAGTGTCTTTTTATAGTAGGTTATTTTCTATCGCTTGTACTTATAAATTCTTTTCATAAATGTCTTTGCACGTTGAAGCTGTAACAAGTAAGATAACGATATTAGCTACAGTGTATGTCACAAAAAATGAATTTATTAAACAAGGTAAATCCTTTTAAATAGTCGTTTCAGTCTTTGTCCAAATGGCGACTGTACTAGGTCACATGACCACTGATAATGTGGCCAGCATGGTCATGTGATCATTTTGTGCTAACCGTTGTACTAATGAGTACCTAAAGTCAAAGTGTCCATTCCGAAGAATAGGAAAACGGGATAACACTGACTCGGTCTTGGTGCTTTCCATCATCCGATTGAAACATTGATGGATTTAATTTAATATGACCTCGTGGTAGAAGAGCCGCTTCAAATTGTCGCGAAATCAGATAAAGCTACTAAAATGAGTGGAAAAACCGTACATCGCCTCGAACGACAGTCGAAATCTTCTAAAGCTTTGGTAAACTCAATGTCGTGAACCATTTGACTTTTTTTGGAAATTTCGTGCTCCTTTGTGTAAATGGTACTCAGGCAGCGCTTGCCATTTGTACTGAAATTTCGGTGAAAAGTTTCCGTCAAATGTTACTGGTATGTTTTTTGGTGCCGAAAACAGGAACGGGATTGAGTTGTACTATTTACAACATACCGGTAAATTTTTCTCTTTCTCTCGACATGAAGCCTGGGACTAGTAATCCAGACAAATGGCACAGAAAATTTCGGTCGTTTCGGTAAAAACGGGAAAAAGGTAATACCTTGAAAGGTATTACTTTTTTTCCGGAAAATTTCCACCAGGATGAATCGTTACATTTGAATTCTCCCCGTAATTTCCGGGTTTTTCCATACAAATGGTAAGCGCTCAGGGTTTCTTTTCTTTGTTATCCTGGATCCGTGGACGTCGATAAAAAGATACCAAAAAATGTGATGCACGTGCAGAGCAATTTTTTTTTTGCTCATAAAACCAATTGGTTTTGACGTTCTCTTTGCCTTAGTCGTCATGGTTGCTTTTGCCCGCTATTTCCTTGCACTTATTGCTAAATTGACTAGTAGAACATAGAAAATGTAAACTTTCGTAGATGGAGTCATGGAAATTAGAAGCTATAGTTGAATGCATCTTACCTGGAAAAGCGGGGGGCTGTAGCAGTTTAATTAGCTGGTCTAACTTTTCATCAAGTTTCTTGATAGCATCGCTAGTTTCAACTCCCTGTCCAATGTACTGGTTGAATACAATTGTTTCACCATTTCTGTTGGTGCGAACTGGAGTCGAGCTGTTTGTAATTTTAGCGCCATTAGCCCCGTGCACCATGAGAGCCACAGAGAAAGCAGCACTGGGCCAAAATCGCATTGTGAGAACCAACTTTGTTATGTGCACTAAAACAGTATTCCGTAATGTTGTCTTCAGCAGAATTATACGTGCTGCATAACCTTGTGCGGTTTTATATGAGACGTGTTGGAACTGAGACGGAAATTGCAATGTGCTGTATAAACATGCGGATGTGATAACCGGCTTGTTCATTTGAGACTCATTTCAGCCTGGACGAACCTTAGGGCCTCTAGTTTAACGCAAGTTCTTAGGCTGCCGCTTCAGGTGTGATTGGGGAGATTTGTTTGGCTAGTTTGTTTTCATTGTAAAATCATACCTTGAGAACGAGGAGGTTGAGGTCATAAGTTTAGCATGCCAGTCAGTACATGCTGTTGGACCCCATGCATCCATAACGAAGTCACCTTCCCGTATTTCTCGAGTACAGAGATTCTTATTCAGTATTCTTGAAAGAGGAACAGAGGCGATAAACGAATGCGGGACACAAGAACACTAGAGTGGCGTTCTAAAATTTTCTCTTGGAGTTAGATTACTTTTGTGTTTGAGTACATTTGCGTAGCAGTTTACACTTTTTAACGTGCTTCAACCCTTCCGTATATTAGAGCAAGACAACTTTAATTAATTTGCCAGGTATATATTGAAGGTATATTTTGTGCGGTATATTTCCTCGATACGCAAAAGACTCTATCATGCTGTTTGATACTGTTTAAGTGTGTCAAGGTTCGTGAATGCTAAGAACGTCTTCTAACTAAATTAAACTTTCCTACATGGTCGTGCAAAGGTAAAAATGCACATTGCCACGAGAGGATGCAGTGCTCTTCCGTTTTGACTCGATATCATTTATGATTTGAAAAATGGTTAATTAAAACGTATTAGTTTTCCGAGTCGCGCAAAAGAATATTTTCCCGTGAAAGCCATTGTCGATAATTCGAAGTGTTTTTTTTTCTTAACCAAGGTTAAAGTATAGGAAAGAAGAGAAGGAGAAAGTGTTGTCTTTAAACTTGACGTTAATTAGCCCCGATTACAGTAATGCGGTTTTGTTTTGAATTCTTGTACGTTCTGCCCTAATAAGATCGTGTTTTTAAACACGTTTAAATTCGACAATGCTCTGCTAAAACCTCTCTCCAAAAGTGTCAACCTGGAAACTGCGGGTTGCGTCTCACGTCTCTAACAGTCGCAAGTTAGTTTTTAAAGAAATCAGCAGAAATTTGATGACCAGGGCCGTAGCCAGCTTTTCAACTAGTTGTAGGCCTGGCTGACTTTCATTTCCACATAATCAGCTCCTGTCGGTGCATAGTACGTTGAATCCTTCCTTGTTACAGTAGGGCTCTAACGAGGCCCGAGACTGATATTCAGCCCAATTAGTTAAACCCTTTGTTTTAATGTCAGTCGTACTGTTTCTGTTCCCTGGGGTACTACACCAGGGGTGAAGTTGGAGGGCAGGGGAGGGAGGGGCAGTAAAGAACGCGAAAGGGAAAAAGGAGAGTTGCTTTTATCTCTTCAGTTCCCTCTCCCTTTTCCCTTTTTCGCGACGCCCCCTTCCTATCCTAGAGGCCAGAAGTAGTCGGTCATATCAGCACTGTCTAAATTGTTTTTATTTTTGTTTTGCAATGAATCCAACTTCAGTGATTCGCAATTGTATTGTAATTAAGGATGTTGATATCCATTGAAAATCAGTTCATGCTATATTACACCAACTCCATAACCACGTCGTTTTTACTTTTTCTTGTATCCGGAGATTTTTTAGAGTTAGTTTGTTTTTATTGCAAAATTACGCCGTGGAAACAAGAAAGTGTAGGACGTAGGTTAACCATGCAAGTCACGAATTATGAAATAAGTTCATGCTGTTAGACACCATACATAAAGAAGTCATCTTCCCGTTTTTATCGTGTACAAAGATTCTTATTAATTAAAAAAAAAATGATCATAAATTAATTTCACAATGGTCCTCAAGTACGTTTGCTAAGTCTCTTCGTCTTATATTCCTTCTATTTACATCTGCACGAGATAATTTAGACCACAAATATGGACCCTGATATCTCAGATTGAAATCTCGGTATCTTAAAGTCGTTTTCAGTACGAAGCTGATAGCTGGTTTCATTTTCTTCAAAAATATTCACTACATAACTAGACAACAGTTTGTGTCTCACTTTATACACTATTATAGCTATATCTTGAAGCGTGTGGTTGTATAGAGTAGTTAGTCCAGCTTTCTTGAGGAGTTCTTCACATGTGGCAGATTTTCCCCTAAATACAATGCGAAGAGCACGCTCTTGTGAATCCTTTCGAGTTTTCTTCTGTCCGATTTTGCACAGAAGTGCCGTACTGTATGACAGTACGTTGAATTAGGTAAAATTGCATATTTATACAAATGAAGTTTAGTTTCTGTAGAAATACTATCCTCTAAAGGTGACAGGACTCCAATCTTCTTACTTGTGTTTATACACATCTCTTGTATATGTGACCTAAACTTAACTATCTAAACAAATGATTGTAAAAAACGATAAATTCGTAATACATTTTGGTACAGTGTACTTGCGGTCACATAAGCTCTTCGAGAAAATTGCTTAGTTTCGGCCACTAAGGAAATGTAGCTCTTTGAGAGAATGGTAGCAGAGCTTATTGGAATTTTAGATTTTCAAGCCTAAAAAGCCATAAGTTGTTATGCTCCTTTTCAGATTTGACTTATGCTCTTCTTATTGTTCCTGCAAGTCTAAGTGAAAGGAAAATGAATTTGCAGCTGTAAAACAATGTACAATTTTTGTTTTGTTTTTTCTTTTCTTGCTTTTTTTTTGTATGAAAAGTATCGTGAAAACCGGTTGGGGTGCCCGTTACCTGTGGTAACCGTCGCTTTAATTAATGTACGAAAAACTCCGTTCCTTGGTGGGTTTCCTGATTCAGTCAGTTTTGACCTGAGACGATACTTGTGTGATGGAAATGATTCAACAAAAGCACATTCATTAAGAAACTGAGTTTCTTGTCTTGTCAATGAAACCTTTTATTTCATCTCAGTCTCACAACTCCCTTATTTAAGATTCTCATTTAAACCGCTTACAATCAGAAATCAACAGTTCCTTAGTTACATTTCAAGGCCGTTTGAGGGTTGTTTCTCGGCATTACAGCTGTTATTGGACCAATATGTATCCCATGGCTTTAATGTGCTGGTCGCCATTATCTCCCCCGGTTATAGCATCATTGCCACACGTGTTAGAGTCATCGTGAGGGCTTCCAGTGCCAAACCCGATCCTGGAGTCACAGCTGTTACATTCATTTTCGTTGTTTCCAAGGATACCAATTCTCGCTTTGCTAGTATTGGTACATATGGCGTTGAATCCCTCTTTGTTACAGTTGGGTTGTAACGAGGCCCGAGACCCAATGAGCTTCTTCCACGTGTTACGGCCCAATGAAGTAGCTCGGTATTTGCCATCTGCGATCATGAAAAACAGGGATCTGGCTTGATGGTTGATGACAACAGAGGTGAACTGGTGACCAACCCTCATTCCAAGACAGATCTTGTTAAACGGTGTGTTCCAATAAGTCGGTAACTTGGTCTCGTGAGTGTCCAACCCAGTCTTCCCTCCTGGAAGGTTGAAGTCGGCTTTGTTGCTCCAGAGATTGGAATTGAAGTGAAAGGTTTTCTGGGTGCATTTCAAAAAGAAAAAAAAAACATTTATATAAATTACTGTCGCTTTGCTATTTTATATGGTACAGTTACATCTTGTTGTTTACTAATTTTGTCCTGGGATATTATTCTCTTAGTACCTTGTCTGGTACTAACAGTGAATTGATACATCATTGAGCTGACACTTTTTAAACCTACACTACTAGATTTTCTTTTTTCTACTTGCGTTAGACTCTTGACTTGTACTGAAAGTTTACCTTCAGTTTATAGTGGCAGTTAAGTGGTAAAAGACCGAGCTACTAGTGAGGATATTTTACTGATAGTACCTTTGAGCCATCGATTTTCATGACCAGCGTCCATCCACCTCCTCCGCATGCATCAAGCATATGCTTGGTCATGTGACAATATACGGGAATCTTCCTGGATCCAACATCAAGCAAATACTCTTTGTTTCCTTTGGACCTAATGAAACATACAACTTCATTAGTTCACCTGTTCCTGGGATATTTCGCTTATATTGGATTAGAGAAGACTGTCTTAGTAAGGGCGCCATAGTAATGGAAAATCTCCGAACAGAAATTATCTGCCTTGTCAAAGAGACATCATATGAGCTGTGAAGAAATCGCAAGATGTGCTCGACTGTAGATAATTTGAGAATTTTGATTAACGTTGTCATTACTGACTTTGGCGATGGACAGTTCTCTTCTTGACAAAAATAAAGAACCAATTCGAAGTTGACAGATAGCAAATTTTTATTGCTGAAAATGTATATGAGTCGTAACAGTTCATCAGTGGGATGCTTTATTTCCACAGTTGGTTTTGGCTCCATTCAATTTTATTCAATTTTCGTTTGCAACCTTGAAGTCTATTTTCTTAAAGACATATACTGTATTTCTAGAATTGATTTATTGTTGTAATAATTTTCACATCATATTTTCGGTTGCATCCGTCTCTTATTTCGTTATCAGATTCTTGGTTTCGAAATTGAGGAACATTCAACTAAAATGGTGCACAGTTTATTTCTCCCTCTTAGCTACGTCACTTTACGGTAATTTTATCCTGCAACTTTAGTTTTTGTTGAAACGATTTTCGTCATCACTTGATATAAACCCTGTGCTGTCGAGTCAACAACAAAATAGATCATTTGTCCTTTGTGGGTCTTAATTCTCTCCGTTTTCTTGAACAAGCAATGGTGCACGTCATCTTATACTCGCGCCTTGGAAACTTTGTTTTGTCTGGTTTGAAGGGGGATGATATTTTCTGGCTTAGCTCTGTGTCCATAGACGGCGGAAAAGTGTTTCGGAAAATGAAGTGTAATAGTGTATCTTAAATCTTCTATACGTACATTTTCTTGTCGTAAATCTCCTTGCACGTTGAAGCTGTTGGGAATTAGAGAATGATATAAGACCACGTACAGAAAACAATTTAAAACTGAATCCAAGACGGCTGTTGATTAATTAACACGTGTACATTGTTGTAGGCGACAATGAAAGGACCCTAGCTGAATAATGCCGCGACCACTAAGTTTTATGGTTCAGTTTCCGCACCGTCGGCTTCCTTAAATTACTTATGCTCTACCACTAATTCAGCCAAATAAATATGTAAGGACAAGAAAAAAAAAACACTAAGGAGTATTGCAAAATGTCTTTGTCTTGTGTCAAGTTGAATTTCCTCGCGTTTCCGTGAGCTTGAGTAAGGTTAGGATTTTTTAAGATTCATCACATAATAAATAAAAAACTACATTGTGTTAGAACGAATTGTGAAGAAAACATTCTTACCTGGAGTAGGATTTCGTGGAGTAGGATTTGCTGGAGTAGGAGAAGGCTGTAGCAGTTTAATTAGCTGGTCCAGCTTTTTTGAAAGCTTTTCATCAAGTTTTTTGATAGCCTCGCTAGTTTCAGCGCCCTGTCCAACGTACTGATTGCATACAACTGTTTCACCGTTTTTGTCGGCGCGAACTACATGTGTGTTGTTGGTAATGTTGACCCCATTCGCTGCGCATTGCACGAAAATTATAAAAAAAGCTGCAGTAAGCCAAAGTTCCATTGCGATAGCCTGGTAAATTGGTGCAATGCACTTCAATATTTCTCCAAAACTCCTTTCAACATGAGAATAACTCAAACTGTATGAGGTTGTCTCACTTATTGACCTGAGATTTGGCTTGTGGGGAGACCAGAAAATTTTCCAGTAGGGTTATTAAGTAAATAATTGCCATTGAAAACACTTTAACCGGAGGAAACTAATGAGGTGCTATGTAACATATTGATACTGATACTGATTTTTCAGAAAGAAAAAAGTTATAAAAAAATTAACAGTAACTCTTAGAAATCAAATTGTGACGGCCTTTCATTTCGGCTTCGCTGCTTGAGTTTTTTTGTTTTAATTATTCGCTGAATGCGAGTAAGTTAACTGTCGTGAATATTTACAAAGCTTAAAGTATATCTCAAAGTTGTTAAAAAAACGTCGACGTCGACGTATTTTAATTCGAGGAAAAATCGCACATTGTAACAGCTGAAATTGTATCCACTGCGCTCTGCTTTGAAGACAATTCTACATTCTATACTCTGGTTGATTATAGATATAATTGTTTGATCTTTTATTTGCAAACGTTGACAAGTTAAACATCAAACAAGAAAAGATGAATACCTTGAGCTTGTATCTTGTATTTTTCCTGCGGAATTTGAGACCTCGATTCTTCACTTTGAATTCGTAACAAGATCATTATTCACAATTGTCTTCATTTAGTTTTTTTTTTTTAACCTTCGCAAATGCCTTCATTCTCTTCTTTTAGTACCAACTCTGTTGGAAGAAACTGGTCTTTTTTTAAATTATTCCCTGCTGGAGTTAAAAGATTCTCGATTCAGACTACCGCATGGCGTGTGTGACTGACAGTTTGTAAACTACATGAGAGACATAAGCCTGGAGGAACTCAACCGAAGTAAGATTGCAGAATTCTCTCTGACGGAAGAAGATAATGTTTGTTTTTGATAATTTATCCTACTTTTTCACATAATAAACCTGTTACTATTTTTGGGTTCTGACGGTAAAAAGTTAGAGTTAGGCAAGTTAAAAGATTGAGTATTCGTTTATAATGACTAATTTTTTCATCAAACTTTTAATTTATTCTAGTGGGGTCTACGTATAATTACATTTTTATGCAGTCGTGTAAATATTATAATACTGATTGTTTGAGACGATTACACCCTCTCGTGTTGTTTAACTGTTTCATTTCAGGTGTCGAAAATTAATATTTATTCGGGTTATATCTTCTTACTGGAGGTTTAAGTCAAAACAAAAGTCAACTTTCAGCTAAATCCTTTGTTACTTTGCTGTTTTTTAAGTGTGTCTGCTCACATGATATTTAAAAGTAAAGTCATAAAGTGTAATAATTCTAAGCAATAGAGATCGCTAGAAACATAAATAACTATCCACCTTGTCCACATCCAACAACAGCTAGTGGGATGATGATGATGATGATGATACCTTTATTAAAGTGTCAAAACTGTAAAAGCGGTGTATAACCACTAACTGGGGACACTAAAATAAATTTTAAAAAAAAGAAGAAATCAATTAATAAATTAATTAAAATTAAGAAAAACTATGTACAGTATAAGCAAGTAAGAAATTCGAGAGAACTGTATACAATATGTACAAATGTATCCATTATCTTATAAAAAATAAGAAATAACAGATTAAGAAGTGCAAAGAGAGCAGTTAGAGCAGTTATTGTCATCTAATAGCATGCTAAGATCCACTTTTCTGATGTTATACTTGAAGGAGGACAACATGGAAGCTTTTTTCAGGTTACTAGGAACAGAACTCCATACCTTTGGGCCCATATACCTGAGCGAGTACTTTCCAAAGGAGACTGTGTTGAATCTGGGTATAGTGAAGTCATGATTGCGCAGTTTATACTTAATTGCAGGCTGTTCAAAGAGAGCGCTAATGTATGTTGTTAATAAATGTTGTTTTTAACTTTATACATGAGAATAGCTATGTCCTGTAGTCGCCGGTTGTGTAGAGTAGATAGCCCGGCCATAGATAGTAATTGACCATAGGACGAATGTTTATCACAATATATAGCCCTAAGTCCTAAGGGGAAAGGACGCACTGGGGAAAGTTCTCCTCCCCCCTCTCCAACCCTTTCCCTGGCCCTCCCCCCGCTTTGTTCCTTCAGCCTTTTCAAAACCAAACGACAAAGAGAACTTTTAAATGCTTAAGCGATTGGCTTACTGAGTCAGCTAGACTGCGAGCAGTCTCTTATTTTTCTTTGCAAAGTTACTGCACGCGAAACCTAAGGACGCGTAATAATAACGTCGTGGTTTGCAATCGCGCTGAATGAGATAAGAACTAGACGGATTTTAAGAGAAAAGGCTGACTGCAAGCAGTCTATGAGTCTGCTTGCTCCCCCGTGCTCATTCCTTCCTCTTATATCTTATTCACTCTCTTTGGTGTTGGCGTTTATTGGTATGTGCGTGAGTATTTGTTTGTTTTTCCTGCGGGAAGTTGAATAGAGATCCAGTAGCAGTAAAGGGGCGCGTTCCATTCCGGATATTTTGGTTAGAAATCAAATGGAACGGACCATTTCGTTTCGGTCCGACCGCAATATTTGGGACCAGGTTTGAAGGTGGTCCACTTTGCCGGTCCGCTCATTTCGGTCGGTCGGACCGAAATGTCCCTTTCCATTTGACAAAAGTGTTGACCCAGTACCGCTCTTTTGCATCCTGCTTACAAGAACGAGACCTCTTCAGCTTGCTTGTTTTGTTTTCCCAATACAGGTCATGTGTTAATACTCTAGAGAACTGTTTCTTTCAAATCTTGTCTTATTCACGTGCAAATGTAAGTAAAATTTATGAAAAGACAATGGGTTAAGTTCCCCATGAGAATGTACCGTTCCTTTGGGCACGTGGGAGTTTCAATGTTTGTTGAATTGAAAGCGCCCAGGTTGTCACTCAAATTTTCCTTTTAACCATAAAAAAAAAACACTTAACTTTATTTGTCTAGAATTTCAGTCACGGCTATAAATGGGGTCGTTCCCGTTGTCCAATGTATGCTACCTAGTTGCATTCCTACAGAAAAACATATTAATTCTTGCTCTTTCAATGTCATGGACTCACGTTTTTGAAAAGCCTTTGTTTTGCCCGTCCACGCTAAAACGATAGATCTTTGTTTGATTCAAGATCGAAATCAACTACTTAAAACGAAATTATTCAGGAAAACACACTGATTTATCAGCGAAACCGTGTTCATGGCCTTACGCAAAGGTTTTATTTTATTACTGTCTTTCAAAATCCCTTATTCTAGATTCTGCTTTAAAACTATTTGTTAACAGCAATTTACAGTTCCTAAGTTGCCTCAAAGCCCTTTTGAAGACTGTTTCTGCGTATTATGGCCCTTATTGGACTAAAATGTATCCCATCGCTTTGATGTGCTGGTCGCCATTATCTGCGGCTATAGCTTCGTTGCCACACGTGTTGGAGTCATCGTGATACCCTCCAGTGCCAAAACCGATCCTGGAGTCACAGCTGCTACAGTCATTTTCGTTGTTTCCAATGAAACCAATTCTTGCCTTTGAGGCTTTGCTCTCGGTACCAATTGCGTTAAATCCTTCCTTGTTACAGTTGGTCTCTAACGAGGCCCGAGACCCAATGAGCTTCTTCCACGTGTTACGGCCCAATGAAGTAGCTCGGTATTTGCCATCTGCGATCAGTGAATACAAGGATCTGGCTTGATGGATGATGACAACAGATTTGAACTGCTGACCGATCTTCATTCCAAGACAGATCTTGTTAAACGGTGTGTTCCAATAAGTCGGTAACTTGGTCTCGTGAGTGTCCAACCCAGTCTTCCCTCCTGGAAGGTTGAAGTCCACTTTGTTGCTCCATAGTTTAGAATTGTAGTGAAAGGTTTTCTGGAAAAAAAAAATCAGTTAACTCATTCATAAAGAATACTATCACTTTGCTGTTTTATCTGTTTGAGAAATATGATACAGTCTCGCCTCGGTTTTCATTGGTCTTGTCGCGAAGTCCTCACATATTATTCTCTTCATACTTTGTCTGTTACTACTTACAGTCAACTGAGCTAAAACTTTTCAAACCTACTCTACGCGTAGTAGATTCCCTTTCTTTCATTTGACGTGGACTTGTGACTTACATTGTAAGTTTACCTTTATATTGGAAATTAGGTGATGACAAACTTTGAAACTTGTGAGAACATTTAACTTTAATACCTTTGTGCCATCGATCTTCATGGCCAGCGTCCATCCACCTCCTCCGCATGCATCAAGCCCATGCTTGGTCATGTGACAGTATACAGGAATTTTTGCAGATTCAACATCAAGCAAATACTCTTTTATTTCACTGGATCTGTTAAAACATACTACTTTATTGATTACTCCCAGTTTGTTTGTTTGTTTCACTTAAAGTTAGGACACCATGGAAATTTAGAAATCTCGTAAAAGAAATCTTTCTTATCAGATAAGCGATGTTTGGTCGAAATTGAGTAATCTTATAAAACATCGTGGAGCGTTGTTATTACTGACTTTGTCGATAAGGAGGATTCTTCATTACCGCCATATGTATGAAACTGCTCAATCCTCATAATTTAGTGATTCATAAACTATCCTTAGTTTGAACATTTCGTAAAGTGTCTGAGTTTTCTTTTTCAATTTATTTTCAATTATGTTTTCTTAATATTTTCTTACCATTTTCTTATCGGTATTTTAGTTCATTCGTAACCATTAATGCATCAATTTTCACTTTTATTTTCTAAAATACTGAAGAAATTAAATTTACAAGCAATTCTCTCTGTTTTTCGTGTGTAAACGTAAACACTAGTGTCTTAAATATCTACCCTAAATTTCAAGATTTAGTGTTGAGGGCTTTTAATACTGCAATGTTCGCTTACATCATGACTTATTTCGTTTTCAGCTTAGTGGCCGGTTGAAATGAAGGAACATTACTGAAATCCAAATAGTAATTTTCCATAGTATTGAAGCATTCTCTAGATTTCCTCGACCTTAGCTAGCTACAAAAATTTACGTACTCAGTTTACTCTGTAACCAGCAGACGGCTGTTTATAGCCATGCCTCAGTTTCTTTACGTATAAAGACAAAGCAGAAAATTCATAGAATGATAAATGACTTAAAGCATTGGAAATACGGAAGTTAAGGGTCTCAACCGTTCACAGCTTAAATCGTGAATTAGTTTGAAATCTTTCCCTCATTTAGACAAGTCTTCATTTAGACAAGTTTTTGTTGTTGTAATTGAGTTTCTCCAGTGAATTTATGGCTTGCTATTTAATCACTACATGGATGACTGGCTAAGGATACATCAGACATTTGTGTGCGGGAGCAGAGTAGGGAGGGGAGGGTAAGGAGAAACTCTTCTTTTCCCTCGAACCCCGGTCTCCCCAAGAGATTGCTCGCGTGACCTCTGGAGCCAGAATAACCAAGAAAGTGATCGATTCAATGTTGCGTTACTCTCTGTGGAAATTACCGGGTGTTTTCGTACGTTTTTAATCGTTTTAAAAAAGCGTGAATATATTTGCGGAGAAATATTTTCTCCTGATATTCGTTTATGTGGAGGAAAGAGATGCGACTAAGTAACCTATAGAGCTTGTGTTTCTTATTTATCATTTAATGTAATCTTTTTTCTGATATTATCACCAATCAGCTTTTATATTTCATGGCTCTCTGAAATGCAGTTGTTTTGCTGATAATGGCAATTTACCATTTTCACATTACCCATAATACACCTCGCTGTAAGCCCTCAAAGATTGCATAAGGATTGTCTTCTATTTCCCTTGGACGTCTGTTATACCCCGGAAAAATTGAAAACAATGGTTAATATGCAAAACTTTGTAGACTGAAGGGTGTTTAATGGGCAATATAAAAATGGTCAATGTGAACAGTTTGGACCGCGAGTACCGATTTAGACACTTAATTTGGCTCTTTTACTCCTAGCTATGCAAAGAACAGCTTTCTGAGGCCGGATAACTATCATAGTGAATATGTGCAATTCGTGTGTTATTTGCTGTTGAACTATGCGGTATTTTCCAACTAATGAACTTTGTTCGTGAAACAGTCGCATTTGATAGCAATTTCGCTCAAGCATGATTTATTTGTACAGTCTTTTCAACTGGTTAATGTCAGTAAGCATGAAAACTTGTAGGATTAATGGTCTGTCCGAAGAGACATTCTCTTTGTAAAATTCCATGTGTAAAGACTGCATTCATGAATCTGTATTTTTAGTATAAAGCAGCTTATGATATCAGAAGTTGACTAAGATGAAGGGATGTTAAATTTTGCCACTGTTGCTTTCTGCGATTGTGACTGAGCTTAATCTCGCGCTAAGTGTAACAATGTGGTTATTCCCAGTGTAGAGATCGAAGTCCCCATAAACAGCTGCTGCTGGTGATTCGCCTCATGTCCAAAGAGTTTAACATTACAGGGATTTAGAGTTTACGACAATAAAAAGGCAAACGTCAGATTCAAATTGGGAATTCTCAAAATGGGTTTTTTTGAAGTTACAATGCACAGTAAGCGAAAAGTATAGGAAAACATTGGTCACTTGGTGCAAATTTATGTTTTTATTTTTTCCACGTGTTTCGAGCAGTTCACGTTTTTAGAAGCGGCCATTGTAAAGGTTATTCAGGAATATGAGCATGAAAGTCATGTATATAATTTTTTGTGGGTATATTTTGTTGAGGAGCGCAAAACTGCTAGGCGTACCACTGCTTAGGGAAGCTAATGGTGTTTCCTTGACTATAATGTGATTGATAAGGAGAAAGTGTAGTGGCGTCACTCAGTTGCGTTTGAGAACAATGAAATAATTCAAACAAAAACTAGACCCTGAGCGATCGCACTTCTTTACTCAAAGAGACGCGCGGCGAGCGAAAAAGTGAAATTATGCAAATCATGTTAAAAAGCAGGAGAAATTGGGGCAGAGCTTGGGCAGATAGAGTCCTTTTTCCTCTTGGCACGAGCTTCCGCCTTCGTTCCTCGCGGCTTCGCCGCTCACTCCTGCTCTCTATCTTCTGTGACGCAAAAAGAAAGGGAAGAGACTGCTCTCATTCTAGCAAAAATGTACGTGCGCAAGTTTTTGTCACCAGAGGCGATACTTGTTTACTCCAAGTAATACAGAGACTGAAGCATAATAAAGAAAGAAACTTTCTGGCCTTTTCAATTGAGGATTTTATTTCATCTCATTCTTACAAATCCCTTATCCTAGATTCAATTTTTAACCGCTTTTTGACTAGAATAAAGAATTTCTTAGTTGCCTTTTAGGGCCGTTCGAAGGTTTTTTCTGCGTATTGCAGAACTTATTGAACCAAGATGTATCCCATAGCTTTGATGTGCTGGTCGCCATTATCTGGCGCGGTTGTAGCTTCGTTGCCACACGTGTTCGAGTCATCGTGCTTCCCTCCAGTGCCAAAACCGATACGGGAGTCACAGTTGCTGCAGTCGTTCTCGTTGTTTCCAAGGATACCAATCCTTGCTTTAGACCAGGCACTGTGGATACCAACTACGTTAAATCCTTCCTTGTTACAGTTGGGTTGTAAAGAGGCCCGAGACCCAAGAAGCTTCTTCCACGTGTTACGGCCCAGTGAAGTAGCTCGGTATTTGCCATCTGCGATCAGTGAATACAGGGATCTGGCTTGATGGTTGATGACAACAGACTTGAACTGCTGACCGATCTTCATTCCAAGACAGATCTTGTTAAACGGTGTGTTCCAATAAGTGGGTAACTTGGTCTCGTGAGTGTCCAACCCAGTCTTCCCTCCTGGAAGGTTGAAGTCGACTTTGTTGCTCCATAGTTTAGAATTGTAGTGAAAGGTTTTCTGGGTGCATTTGAAAAAGAAAAACAAACATCATTTATATGAAGTACCACCGCTTTGCTCTTTTATCTATTCGACAAATATGGTACAGTCACATCTTGGTGTTTACTAATCTTGTCCTCAGATATTAATCTCTTAGTACCTTGTCTGGTACTAGTACAGTGAATTGATACATCATTGAGCTGACACTTTTCAAACCTACACGTACTATATTTACTTTTTTTCTACTTGTGTTGGACGCTTGACTTGCACTGAAAGTCTACCTTCAGTGTATAGTGGCAGTTAGGTGGTAAGACTGAAAGGTGCTCTGATTAAATTAATAAAAAAGAACATCATATAAGTTATTCAGATAACGTACTACATGTATCACTTTTCTCCTTTATAATTTGACAAATATAATGTCAGCATCTTGGTCTTAACTGAATTGATAAATCATCGTGCTAACAGTTATCAAACCTACACTTAATAGATCCACTATTACCCTGTATGTTGACCTTAATAATGTCTGAATTTAAGTGGCAGACAGACAGAGCTGCTTGTGATAAGATTGAACTTTTAATACCTTTGAGCCATCGATCTTCATAACCAGCGTCCATCCTCCTCCTCCGCATGCGTCAAGCCCATGCGTGGTCATGTGACAATATACGGGAATCTTCGCAGATCCAACGTTCAGGAGGTACTCTTTGTTTCCTTTAGACCTGGTTAAAAAAATAAAACTTCATTGGTTCACCTCATTCTGAAGTAATTGCCTCATTCGGGGTGATAGAAAGGCTGACTTAGAATGGGCCCCAAAGAAATTGAGGAGAAAGTCTTTCATATCAAGTGGACAACCTAAGTGGAAATCAAAGAATATCGAGTGACGCTGTAATTGCTGACTTTGTCGATAAGCAGAACTCTTCTTTAGCGTCTATATTTTTTCCCCTTGTTTATATTGTCACAAGTCTTGGGCGTCGCTCCCAATTAAATTACTTAATCCTACTAAGTTAGTGATTCATATACTGTCCTTCATCTTGAGCGTTTTGTTAATTGCCAGTGCTTTCTTTTTTCCTGATTTTTTTTCTCACAAACGTAGTGATCATTATTTGAATTTATTTTACCATTTCTGGACCAATGTTTGCTTTTTGTACTCTACAATCATCCTTACTGTAGGCCAAGATTGGTTCAGTGTTTCTATGATTTTCAAAACCCTGATTTTGTTCACATAAGTTAGCTTATATTCTTTTCAACTTTGTGGTGTCAAAATGCAGGAGCATAAAACCAAAAAAGTATAATTTTTACAGTTTTGATGCATTCGTTACACACTTCCTTTCTTTTCTATATTAATTTACGGTTATTTTGCTCAGAAACTTTCGTTTTTGTGTAACCGATTTTCGTCATCATTCAGTGCTATAGACTTTGTGCAGATGATTCCAAACATGTTTGGATCCTTTGTCCTTCGTGTGTCTGAATTCTCTTCGCTCTTCTCAATAACGCAAAAGTGCACGTCATGTTTTTCTCTTGTCTATAGGGAGCTTCTGGGTTGTGAGTGGAAGCCGATTTTGGCGATATTTTTTTCTGGCGTAACTCTGTGTTTACTACGAAAATGAGGTGTATTAGTGTATCTTTAGCCTTCTTTACTTACAGGTTCTTGTCATAAATCTCCTTGCACGTTGAAGCTGTTGAGAAAAAAAATTTCTTTGTGTTTCGTGAAGCTGAGTTATGTTACATTACATTTCATCTTAAAGGTGTTATTAGTTTAATCACATCTGTGTGTTAGAACGGAATATAAAAATTCTTGAATTACCTGCATAAGGAGAAGGCTGTAGCAGTTTTATTAGCTGATCGAGCTTTTCATCGAGTTTCTTGATAGCATCGCTAGTTACAGCGCCCTGTCCAATGTACTGATTGCATGCAACTGGCTCACCATCCCCTTTTTTTGTTGTCTTAGTCCCATTCGCCGCGCATTCCGCGAAAATCACAAGGAAGGCTACAAAAGCAAAAATCTCATTGCGGTAGCCTGACAAATTGGTGAAGTGCAATATTTCTCCAAAGTTTTCTTGAACAGAATGACTCATGCTGTAAGAGGATGTCTAAATTTATTGACCTGAGATTTGGCTTGTAGGAAGACTAGAAAATTTTCCAGTCGGATTATTAAGTAAATAGTTGCCATTTGAGATATTTTTGCTGGAGAAAACTTTTGTGGTGCTATGTAAAATACTGATAGCAATTTTGTGGAAAGAAAGGTGTAAAGACATTTAGTAGAACTCAGAGTGCGCCAACGGAACCCCGTTTATCGCGTCTTTTGCTGATTATTTCAGCCCTGCTGTTAAATTTTGCTTTTAAATATTAGTTGCATAATCAAGGGCGAGTACAGTGTAAGTAAATTTTCGTGAATAATTACAGAGCTTGAAGTTTATTTCTAGTTGTTCAACGGAACAAAATCGACGACAAAAAGTAGAAACTCTTACATTGAAACAGCAGGAATTGTATTCACTGCGTAATACTATAAAGATTATTCTGAAATTATACTAAAAGGCTATAATTATAGTTGTCTGCATTTATTATTTGCAAACTTTGAGGTGCTATTGTTCCTACGGCAGTTGAGACCTCGACTTCGTGACTACAACGTCATTCTTCCTCGACTAATTTTCTTCCTAAGTTTTCTAGCCTTTGCAAATGTCTTAGTTACTCTTCAACAATCTCTTCAAAGTACCAACCCTGGGTATGATATCTTGTCTTGAAAGATTCTCGAATGTCGTGAGACTTATACGAGACACTGACAATGGAGAACTCAACCGAAATGACATTCCATGATAATCTGTGGTGAGACAAAATACTGTTTATTTTTTAGGGTATTTACATTTTAATTTTTCTCAGCATAAACCTTGAACTTTTTGAGGCCTTGTGCTTAAGGTTGGACGTTTAATCAGTTTAGTACTGTCTGCTGTCTGTTTTAGTACTAATCATGTTTTATTGTTGAATTAACTTTATTGTACAGTGAAACCTCGTTATAACGAAGGATCAAAGGACTGACAAAATTTGTTCGCCTTAACACGGTGTCGTTATATCAAGGTTCTTTTTCATATATTTTACTATTACTGGGTAAAGAAAATCGTTTGTTGAATCGAAGACTTCGTAATATAGAGGTTCGACTGTAGAAGTATTTTATCAACATGTCGAAACCCTATTTGGCCGATTCCTTTCCCTGTTGTGTGACAGGTCAATTTTCAGCTGAAGCTTTTTTTAAAATCTTTTTGTATCATTTTTCAAGCTTAATGAGTAGTTATGCTGATATAAGCGCATGCACTTAGTCGCTTGGTTTCTAGAAATTGTAAGACAACCATCCGGCAAACGTGTTTTTAAAAGCTATCTCTGTTTTCCTCAGACAGATCAAAACGTTTTTATAATCGGAAGTAAGTTATTATTGTAAAGTTGGACGTAAATGGCTTGAAATTGTATTGTAAATAAGAAGGTGATTTTGCAAGTTTAATATTCCAATCATGAATAAATTTGAATCAGTTTAATTGCTTTTTACTATCAGACACCTTTCATGAAGACCTTAACTTTTCTTTTTGTTCTTTGTGTATTAAAACTTTGTTTGAACCGAAACAATCGCTTTTTTCTCGTCAAATTTCATAACGAAGAACAGATAAGAAAAACAAATAAGACGTACAACAAGTTCCATTGCTTTTGCTTTTGAACATAATTGTTTCGACCATTTCTTGATTCGAGATCTAAAAGGAGGAAAGAAAGACAGAGACCAACTCTAGCTGTCCGTTCTACCAAAGTGTTCGTCTTATTGAGGTGTAGTCGACCGTGAAATTAAATTAAATTACCTTTGATTCATATTTCACAGTTTCTATGGACTGAAGACTTGTTTCGGTTCAGCGCCCCAAATTTTTGAAAGCGTCTTTTTTTCTGGAGATGCCAAAATTGATCTGTATGGTTCTTCATCTCATAATATGATTTCGGAACCCATTAAAATGATGGCTTTCCGGCTTGAGTTTTTTGTTCTGAATCGTTCGTTAACCCTCGCTTTGAATTGCCGCCAAGAAGAGTCGAAAGTTTTCAGCCCAAAACTTGCTTTCCGCAAGTCTACAACAACTAGAACCATGTTAAGGTAGAAAGGAAATGTATGATGTGGACTGAAAACCTTTGCTATAAACTTGGTCTGATGACCATTATACTTCAAAGGAATCCTCTCTAGCTTGCAAGCTCTCTAGTGTATTTTGTGTCTTTTATCACAACAGCGACAATTTTATACTTTACTACTCCTCCCATGAGGTAAATCCTTGTTGGCTCCCACATTTTGGGAGCCACGTGACCAGCCGCAACTAGGGTTATTTCTCGAGGCAAGGGAGGGAACTCTGGGAACGAGGTTGATCTGATCGCTGAGCGCCTGTATTGTGGGCTCTCCATTTGGCGCCAATTCTCGCTATTTGAACGCCTACAATAGGCCAGCATTCAACTACATTAAAAACCAGCGAGTAAAAACCTGGCTTTTAAGAACCTGTCGGGCTAAAATTTGAGATAGGTTCTTATTTTCTAAAATCTATAAAAAAAAAAATTGCATACACTTTGACAAATAAGATAAGTCAAACCTCATTTTCACATAAATACTAATTTGCTATGTAAATTTTATATAAGGAATAAGTTGAATTCTACCAAATACTCTCATCTATAATGTTTGTTTTCTTCAGAAAATTTTGAGCCTATTTTAGAACCTAAATAGCCTAATTTTTTTGCTCATACTAGTACTATCATATATTTCGTCCGTTTTCACACTCTGTTGCATGTTGTTGGATGTTGTAGCGCAAAGTTTGGGCCAACAATGTTGGGAGTTGTTGGGCTGACAATGTTGAGAGTTGTTGGGTTTACAATGTTGGGAGTTGTTGTATCCGTTTGCACGTAGCTTAAGAACCTGTTTGGGCTAACTTGGAAAAATGCAGGTTCTTACTCGCAGGTTTTTACTGAATCTGTCTTTCAGTCAGTGATTTTTTGAAAGATAAATTAAGAATTTTTGTTTA